CCCTAAGGAGACGACAGAGCATACACAAAACCCCAGCCCTCGCCTTTACGCTGTCTATTATTTATTTTTTATATTTTCTTTGATTTAATTAAATATTAAACAAAAGACATCAATTAGACAAACAAACAATAGCTGCAGCAAACTCCAAGGGGGCCCCCCAGCTGGGGGGCCCCCAGCTAGGGGGCCCCTAGGTTCTAGGAGGCTGTTCTTTGTTGTTTTTATGTTTTCTGCTGTTTATTTAACTTATTTTAATTCAATTTGCCGATGCTGAGGTGTATAGGTAGCTCCTGAGGTGTACAGACTCCTCCGAACTCTATACACACAGCAGGGATTAGGGTTTAGGGTTTAGGGTTTAGGGTTTAGAAAAATGGGGTATAATGACGCTTGTTAGCAACGGTGGAGATGCGCAGCAGCCAAAGATGGCACCTGGTGGGCCTGCTGCTGCAGCAGTTGCTGCTGCTGCTGCAGCTGCTGCCGCTGCTGCTAGAGCAGCATCAAGCCCTGGGGTACCTTCTTCCTCTGCAGCAGCAGCAGCAGCAGCAGCAGCAGCAGAGCAGCATTGCTTCTGCAACAACAACGGCCCTTCATTATTCTCCCTTGAGGCACCCTTGCATGCGCCCCCACAACAACAGCAGCAACAGGTGCAGCAGCAACTGCAGCAGCAGCAGCAGCAGCAGCAGCAGAAGAAACTACAGCTTGGCCTTGCGACCTGTTGTTGATTTGCCTACAGCAGCAACAGCAGCAGCAGCAGCAACAGCCACAGCAGCAGCAGCAGACTCAGGGTGCCCTGCAGCAGAACCAGAAGCTGCAGAACCACCAGCAGAAGCACCGGAAGCACCAGAAGCGCCAGCAGCAGCAGCAGCACCAGCACCAGCAGCAGCAGCAGCAGCAGCACCAGCAGCAGCAGCAGCAGCAGCAGCAGCAGGTGCTTTAGCTCTGCCTGCTCACTTGCGGGTGTACTACCAGCGTAATTTACATTTAAACGAGGCCTCAAACCCTCTTTGTATTTTTCATAGCAAAGTGCTCCGCTTCCTCCAAACAAATACTGCTAATAAACAGCAGCAGCAGCAGCAGCAGCAAGAGCAGCAAATGCTGCAGCAGCAGCAAGAGCAACAGCAACAGCAAGAGACGCAGCAGGGAGAGGCGGAGCCGCAGCAACACCAACAGCAGCACCAACAGCAACAGCAACACCAACAGCAGCAGCAACAACAACAGCAACAGCAACAACAACACCAACAGCAGCAGCAGCAGCAGCAGCAGCAGCAGGAGAGTGAGGGTTTAGTCTCCCCAGACGCTGTATATAGGGGTGCTGATGGAGGCCTTATTGCTGCTTTCACATCTCTGTCTCCTTTGGTTTCTGCAGCAACAAACTTTGATTTGCTGCATATACACCCCAACCATTCAGCTCGTTCTCCTCAAGAGACTTTCTATTTAAATTATTCACTAGGGGGCCCCCCATCTCAGGGGGGCCCCCAGCCTCAAGGGGGCCCCCCATCTCAGGGGGGCCCCCAACCTCAAGGGGGCCCCCTTTGTCTCCGCACTCATACTTCTGCGCATATTCCTCACTGCCTCAGATGGGCCTTCAAACATCTTCAACAAATTCATACGAACAAACACAACCACCCTCAACGGGGGCCCCAAGGGGGCCCCCTTGGGGG